GCTGAACAAACAAGTCCAAATGAAAATACAGATACATTAACACAATCATCTGAACAATTAAATGCACGTGAGAATTCAAAACGTAATCGTTCATATTTAAAAAACGATGATGCCAGTGATGATCAAGAAAATACAACGATTAATAATGAAGAACAAGTATCAAAAGATTCAAATAAACGTTCACGACGTTATGATAAACGACGAGAAAATATTGATGATGATAATGATGAACAAATACAACCAACTATACAAAGTAGTATTGTTCGTGCTGAACCCAAAGAACGTGAACAACGACGTTCATCACCAACACGACAACGACGGGAACATCGTAATGAATCAAAACATCATCGATCAACAAGTAATAAACATGATGAAAATGAAAAATCAAATGATAAACATGGTAAATACCCATTCAAAATCAACTTTTTTCTTTGTTTTTCATATATATCATTGTTTTTGTTCTCAATTTTTAGTTCAAAATAATTCTTCACCAGTACGTCCTAGACGTGATCATGATGAATCTCACACGAATCGTCGTCGTCGTTCTCAAACACCACCACCACCATCATCGTCATCAGCATCTCGTATTCGATCACCACTAAATGATAATAGAAACGAGTCTTTCGATGATTCTACAGCAACATCATCTAAAATGGATCAACAAGGAGATACGACTAATGTTCTGTCGACATTACACTCTAGTTCATCACCACCAGCATCCCAACCATCTGCATCTTCGTCTGGAAAACGACGTAATCGCTGGGCAAATGAGGAAAACTTTAATGAAAGACAAACAACAGCACAAGATACTAGTCTTGAAGAGGAATTACGTATGATTGCACAAACAACTACAGTACAAATCGAATCCATAACACAATCGAATGACATTCCACAACAATCAACAGAATCAATAGTAACAGAGACAGAAACAACTGTTAGTAAATCAAAATGGGATGATGATGATGATGATGAAGAAATGATCACCGATTCAGTTAAACAAAACCAAATTCAATCGGAACCGTAAGTTAAATTTTTTCTATGAAAAAAAAAAACAAATTGTTAACGCAATTTCTGCAGAATTAACATGTAAAACACGATATAGCTACTCTTATTAATCACAAGAAACTTCTTATTTTCAGATACATTTCTTCTCGGTCCTTTTACCTAATTTGCCAGAAATTGAATAAGACCGTAGTTCATTTATTATAAGAAGATGTTATTGGTATAGAGTTTCTGTTTGTATATCAACAACGTCTGTAGTGCAGAGGAACTACGTTGTTCGTCATATATGCATAGGTACTGAGTTCAAACGTGGATACCATTCGTCATGGAGTGACACTGAACAAGTCGTTAACAGCTGCTTGTCTCGGATCAATCGTCTGATAGCATGCTGACTTCGTAGTGACATACACATGCACTCGTAGCTAGTATGTTGTGAGTCATTATGTATGGAAAACGTCGACCATTGAGCACGAGAACTCTGCGTTAGACCAATCTTCTGTTCAGAGCTTTAGCTTGTATTAGTTTCAGGAAAGATACCAGGCTAATGAATTTGCCACTAGGCAGCATATCATATCACAAGGTAGCCGGAAGATAGGATTATTCTTCCTTTTCTGTTATGATTTAAGATGCTTTCTAATTAGCGTCTGTGAGGATTCAAAGTTTTTACCCATATACTTCAGTACTGAGTTTAGATCGTGTTTCATAAAATACAATGTTCTTTTCTTTTATTGATTCTAATCTATTTTTATAGTTCACCAAAAGAGAAAGCGCCTAGCCCGATAGTAAATACTTCTGTCGAAACTGCATCAAATGTTGAAACGTCTCATGAACACCGATCGTCAATAACGATACTAACAGATAAACAACAAGATAAAACAATTTCACAAACTGAACAATCATCATCAAGTCATAGTCGAAAAGAGAAAGATTCTTCTAATCGAGAACGTCGACAACGACAAACATCCAGTCATGAACGTGATCGTGAACGTGATCGTGAACGTGATCGTGATCGTGAACATGATCGGAATCGTGAACATGATCGTGAACGTGATCGTGAACATGATCGTGAACGTGATCGTGAGCGAGATCGTCATCGTCGTACATCTAGTCGTGATCGTCATCCTTATTCATCTTCACATAGTCGTTATCGTAATTATGGTGAAAGAGATGATTATTATCGTCGACGAAATTATGATGATCGATATAGTTCTAGTCATCGTCGACGATATTCACCACCAGCATCATCTCGAAGTCGATACTATGATCGAGTTGATCGATATCGAGGTAAACATATTTTTAAACAAATATAACAAATAAATTTTAATTTTAAATTTTTTTTTTCTAGGACGTGATCGTGATTATTATGATAGAGATCGTCGACGAAATGATGATCGTGATCGTCATCGTTCATCTCGTGATAAAAATACTCGTCCATCACAATCAAAATCATCTAATCGTGAAAAAGACCGAAAGAGATCATCGAGTTCATCATCAAATTCATCTTCTTCATCTGGTTCATCATCACGTTCATCATCATCATCAAATTCTTCATCTTCTTCCTCCTCCTCATCATCAAGTTCATCATCAAGTAGTTCAACTGAATCGTAAGTGATCTCATTTTATACTATTGATATATTTTTCTATATATATATATATAGAGAAGCACAATCTGGACGACATGAACGTGTTCCAACTCCACCAGCACGAAAACGTTTACCTACGCCACCAAATCCCGAAGACGAACATATTTTTGTATCATTACAAACTGTGAAACCGCGTGAACCACTCGAACGAAAACAAATTAAAATTGAATTAGCAAAATCTGTACCCTTACCACCTTCAACATCACCAGGTGAACTTAATCATTTAGATTTTTCCATCAAAAACAAGTTTTTTTTTCATTTAAATAGCTCGACCATCGCCACCACCACCTCTACCACTCTATGATCCTGAAGAAGATGAAGAATCCTCAAATACAGCGACACATTCACAAGATCGTATTGGTGAACATGAAGATATGGAACTTGATGATCTTGATGAACCACAACCGACATCAACAGATGAATTAACTTCATCAACTACTTTTATAGAAGAACAAACAGTGCAAACAACAACAACACCACCCCCACCCCCACCAGCACCATCGGTTTCTTCACTTTATGATGATGCTGATGAAGAAGATCCAAGTATTCCAACAGAAAGTAATCAGGTAAAGTATAAGTCGAACTATGCGAAATTTCACTCATTTTTTCTCATAATAACGAAGGTAGCGAAAGCAAACGATTATTGGGTATGTTTCCATAGCAACCAAGGACAGCAGATGTCTGACTTCCTTTCCAAAGTTTTCTGATAACGAAAAACGACATAAGCAACAGAACTTAGACTGTTCTAGAAAATTTCAAAGTCTTACTCGAAATTTGAATGGTTAGAATAACCTTACGAATCTATTTTTACGTAGATATAAGTTTATAGTCAAGATGTCAATGATGGTGTATTGATTTGCTAGTCTTCATAGGATGAATATAAAAGATGGAAACTGATCAAGTTATTATTTGGAGAAATAATAAATATCAGTGTTTCTGAAGCTTATCAAGACATATGATAATATAGTGAGACTTGTTTACCACGTGCTTATTTACAAGCTAAAGTAATTGTTAGAATAATAATAAAAATGTTAAAGAACTTGAAAAAATAATTGTAGTCTGTTAGAAATTGTCGATTCTATGCGTTTTGTATTAATGCTCGTTTCAAAAAAAAAGACCATATCGTATTGAATCATATATTATAGATTTTTCTAAGATAGTTTCTGAAGTTCTTGTTAGTCAAATTAATTTTTTAAAAATTGTCGGAAAAATGGTTTCTTTTAACATGAGAATAAAAACTGAAATAGAATCCTTTTCACAATAATTGCTGGAAGAGTCAGCTCGAAATTTCGACTAGAATACTTGTGATTCTTGAATAACTAAATCTGAGGCTTATATAGTTTTGTAGATCTGCCATTGACAGTTTGGATGCACACCCGATAATTAAAAAGTTATTCTAGTTACCCTACACGGGTACATTGCTTTTCAAAAAAGGTTGATAAAACACTTCAAAAAAAACTAGCGAAAAAAATCTTGAAGTATACAATTTAATGCATCTTCAGCTTTTCTTTCTAAAAATGGAAACAACAACTCTCTATGTTGCTTCTGTCAAAAACTATTAAAACAATAGCCATCCGCATTTTTCTTTTCAAATTGCCATTAGTACAATGATGGGCAAGAATACATATGAGTTCCATATTTGACACTAAGAAGTTTTAAGTTTTTTTTAATTATATTTTAGGAACAAAGTAATGATACCAATCCAATGCCACCAATAGTAAATTCAACGACTGAAACAATCGTTGAAGAAAAACCATCAAAAAAAGCTAAACATCGATCAAGTAAAATAAAAAACAAACGAAACATTACAGAAAACAATTTATTTGCTTTTTTCTTTTGTTTTCTGTTTAGCATCGCGTTCATCTTCTTCAACTTCATCATCTGGTAGTGATACGAGTAGTTCAACATCGTCTTCATCTGGTTCATCATCATCATCGTCATCATCACGTTCATCATCATCTCATTCACATAAAAAACGTGAATCTGCATCATCACAGTAATAATTGCATCAATGTTTCTTTTCTTTTAATAAATAATTTTCTAATTGTCTAGTCATCGTCATCATCAAAATGGTAACCATAGTTCAAATTCCAATTATAAATCACGACGTCGTTAAAATTTTTTCTGTCTTTTTTTCTTTTTTTTTTTGTTACACACAGACATTCATGTGTATGTTTTTTTTTCATTTTGTTCACTATTCTTCATCTTATTCTTTCTTTCTTTCTTTTTTTTTTTAACCTAGTCTAACTTCTTCTTCTTTTGTTTCTTCGTTTGTTTGTATGTAAACACATCAAAAACAAAAAAAAATAAATGATGAATGTTTGTTCTTTTTTCTTTTTCCAGATTATCATACACATGATTGATCCAACAACAACAACAACCATAAATGATACAGGCGGTGGTGGTGGTGGCGACGGTGGCAATAGCCATACATCAAATAGAAATACGAATCCATTTATACGTCCAAGAATATTATTAACCGGTTTACGTCGTTCAGGTAAAACATCAATACAACGTGTTATATTTACAAAAATGCAACCATCACAAACACAATTTCTTGAATCAACACCACATTTAACATTAAATCAATTTTCATGTGGCTCATTTATTAATTTTCAAGTACAAGAATTGCCCGGTCAATTACCATTATTTTCATCAGGACCTAATAGTGGTAGTGGAGGAAATCATGTTCAAGCATCATCTTATGATGATGATTCAATGACAAATATAATGGGTGGTAATTATGATTTAGAACGTTTATTAAAACGTTGTAATGCTGTTGTATATATAATTGATGCTCAAGATGATTATACTGAATCAATATCACGTCTAAATACAATTATACAAAAAGGTAGACGAATTAATCCTCGAATACGATATGAAATATTTATACACAAAGTTGATCAATTATCTGAAGAAGCTAAAATAGAAACACAACGAGATATTCATAATCAGGTATTAATATTCAATTAATCAAATATGTTTTCCTTCTTTTTAAATGTATTGCAATATTTTTCATTAAAGTTGTATAAACAATGATTTATCAGAGAAAGAAAAAAGAAATAACTCTTCATTTAAAATCCATGATGGACTTTTTCTTTTATGTCAAAGATGTTTCAAATCATTATAATAATTCAGAAGAATATTGTTTGCTTCTGATTATGACAATAGATATATTTCAATCGTTAGAAGAAAGCTCGAAAAGTTTCAGGTCAAAAATAACTTTTTATTCTTGAGATGTTGAATATCTGAAGAAACAAACATCTCATGTCATAAGATATACATCAAATATCAAGCATCTTTAACATTCGAATAAAGTATTCTTTCAAGCTGAAACTTGTAGAACTTTTTATTGACAATAAGATCCATCTATGAACAAGGTTTCATAGTGTAATCTATTCATATACGCCTTACCAGAGATCAAAAAATTTCAGTAAACGATTAGAACTCGAAACGAATAGCATATTAGAATGAATAATTTCAGACTTCTTCCAATTCCATCGAACTTTACAAACCAGTATAGATTAAATTTAAAATACAGTGTAACACTTGAACATTTTTCTTTGTTACTGATCTTCCATTGAATCTCATTTAAAATTTGTACAATTAGGAAAAAAAAAATAAATTTTCTTTGTAGAAATAAAATAAAAAGATCAATGACTAGAGCCCATCGGACCCACAATTTTTGGATCCGAGACTAATCCGACGAGATCTAGAAATGAAGTCAACTAATAGATAATATTCTTTAATCGATAGGGTTCATTTAAATTAAATCGATAAAATCTACATTGAGTAAAGCTATTCGAGACAATAGAAACAAATTATGTTTGTGTATATGATTTTTGCATGCAAACGAAATAAATTATAAGTTTAAATATAATTCTATTTAGGTACGAGATCGTTTTGCTGATCCTATTAGTGGAGTAGATTCCTGGTCGCCAACATCCCATATGTCTAATTCAAATTCTCAAGATATTCTAATAAATTTTCATTTAACATCCATATTTGATCATTCAATATTTGAAGCATTTTCAAAAGTAATACAAAAATTAATCCCACAATTTGCCCATTTAGAACGTTTGCTCAATTATTTATTATCAACATCGAATATTGAACAAGCATTTTTATTCGATGTTCAAACTAAAATAAGTATTGCAACTGATTCATCACCCACCGATATGCAAGTAAGTTAAATTTACATAAATAAAGCAGAACAAATTGAATGTATATTGTTTGTTTTTAAAGATGTACGAATTATGCTGTGACATGATTGATTTATTAATAAATATGAGTGAAATATACGGACAACCAAGTGAAAATAATATGCGAAGATTAACTGATGATGACGATGAAGATGAAGATGAATATCTTAATGAAGAATATGAAAATAATCAGGGTGATAATACTGAACAACAGGAATGGAATCTTGTAGCTCAAAATGAGGATTATAATGAGAATAATATTCAAATAAATGGTTCAAGAAAAAATTCATATTTAAATAGTAAATATATAAATTTAGAGAAAAAAAAATGCAAAGAGAAAAAATTTTTCTTCTTCTTTTACTTAGGTCCTTTAGGTACACCACCAGTTATGAATCATCAACCGTCAACATTACTTGAAACAACAAATGAACCAGCATCAGCTGTGTTTGATTCAATGTCATCCAGTATTATTAAATTAACCGGTGGTCGAGCACTTTATCTCAAAGAAATAAATCGTCATTTAGCATTAATATGTATTTTACGTGAAGAAGCACTTACAAAACAAGCTCTTATTGATTATAATGTCAGACAATTAAAAAAGTCTATTATAAAATTATTTCGTTTAAACTATCAACTATCTCGACCTCTTATTTCATCATCGAACATAGTTGAATAAAAAAAATCTTTTATTCATGTTTCCTTTGTTTTTTTCTAATCCCTAACCCCGCCAATGTTTCAGGAATGCATGTTTGTGTTTATTGTTGTTCATGTTCTTGCTGTTGCTATATCATAAGAAGTCCTATCATCTTTTCTATTTGCATGCGATAGCATTCTTGCATATGCTTATAAATAAAAATATATATCTACTTGCACAACGATGATAGTGTATTGTCCATTTTTTTGGATCGACAAAACACTGTCGTGTTTTTTTCTCGTTTTTTTTACCTTTTTCCTTTTTTTTCTCTCTGCGCATTGGCACAAACAGTGAATTATCTGTTCGATTTTCTTTCTTGTTTTTCTTCTATGTAATTCTTTAGTGCGCGTTTGTGCGACAAAGCGTTTTTTTTCTTCTGTTTTTTTGTCACATACATACATTTGTCCTGTTTGTTTTTTTGTGCGCGGATGGATTTCGTTTATTAAAAAGGATTAACAAACAAATAGTACAAATCAGGAATCGTTCTTCTTTTGATATAACAAAGATGTCAAGAAGAAATCTAAAAGATTTTCGTAGTTTTCGAATTAGTCTGTATTCATTAAAGTATTGTGACTATTGTTTATTGATAACCTATAGTGCGAAAATCTTGGCACAAAGTGTTCACTTATTTTTAAGACACTAAAAGACAACTGGCTAGAGCCAGAATCAAAAATTTTCGCCGTTTCCGAGTATAGGAACGGATTTCCCTTATGGAGTAAGTTTAAACAACTATCAGTAAAGGAACCACAGAATTTAGTGATCTATCGTGAGCTAGGATTCCATATATGTAATTTTGTGAAGCAATTTATGGTGCATCGAATGGTATATAGGAAGTCAAGTTTTATGCAAACTTTGTTGAGTTGAAAGTCCGTACACTGGTTATAATCCTTGAGAAATATATATAATACACATGAACATTGTGATTTCTAAGACATATTTATGCAAACTTTGTTTTTTCAACTCCATTCAATACAGTTATATGTGCTCTTCAATTTTCTAGCATCAATAGTTTTCATTGTTGCTTTCTTCGTGCTTAAAAATGGTCCTTTTTCTTAGATCGAGATTATTTCTTGACTATATGCAGTGTGCTTAACTCTATGCCACTGACAAGTCAATAGTAATATGGAGCTTTCTCAAAAATTACAAAGCAACGAGCTGTATATGTTTCATAGATAAAATTTCTCGAAACAACAGGGACTCAATGTCAACTTGCCAGAGTGTCCCTTAGAGTAGTCTATTTTCCATATGAAAGGACCGGTATATTGATGATTGTCTAACGCTGCTCAATGGTTCTATTAAAAGTCTTTATATACCAATAATCAGCACAGTTTCTCAGACAAACTGATATAAATAGTTTCCTTATGAACGCAAAAATAGTTTTTGTGGCCTTTGAACCATGGAGAAGGACAACGAAATATGTGTACGGTAAGGAGATCTTCACATTATTATAATTTTTTTCAAATTTGTATTCTGGGTGTTCGTGTTTGATTTATGCATAAAACTCTAAAAGAATCTATAAATATCTTACGATTGTTTCAAAAATAAAGTTGTCCATATCTTCGTCTTTTCCTGCAGCAATCCAGAGGTCCAAATAAAATTTTCCGTTTATAAAAAGGAGTTATTTATATCATTTCATCATAGGTGTTGTTTTGATTATTGGTATTTACAAGTTTTCAATAGAACCGTTGAGTATTGTTAAAGTATCGTCAATATATCGATCACTTCATATAGGAAAATAGGCTACTCTTAGGAACATTCTTGCAAGTTTACAAATAGTGCATGTTGTTTCGAGAAGCCTTATCTATGATACACATACAGCTTGATACTTTGAAAATGTTTGATAAAGTTTCATGTTGCTACTCACTTATTCTGTGGCACAAAATTAGGCACATTACCTATAGTAAAGAAATAACCTAGATCTAAGAAAAAGAACAAATTTATGAGTATGAAGAAAGCAATGATGAAAACTATTGATTGTAGAAAATTGAAGAACGAACATAACTGTATTGAATCGAATTGAAAAACGAAGTTCGGAGAACTATATCTTAGGAACCACAATGTCTATGTATATCATATATATTTCTCAATGATTGTAATCAGTATATGAACTCTCATCACATCAAAATTAGATAAAAACTTGGTTTCTTGTGCACAATTCAATGCAACGCAAACTGCTCTACAAAATTGTATATATCACATCGTGGCTCAAGATAGTTTATCCAATTCGGTGGAATATTTTATGAAACACATTCAAAATTGTGTCTATAAAAAGCCAACTTGCAGTTTTAGCGCAGTCTTTTATGTGTGTCTCAGAACAGCTTCAAGCCATTGACATTGCACAGCACTAAATTTTGTGAAAAATGAGATATAGCAACAAGCCAAACCTCATTTAGGTGCTTCCACTTCAAAGCGCTAATTTCTATAGAAGTCGGCATTGATCAAAAACTGCCATAACTGAGCCGTTCAGAACTATATCGCATTTTCAGTTTGATGTGTCAATCAAAATAAAAAATTAAAAGAAAACCTAGTTTTCTAGCATATTCAGAAAGAGTAAACAAGTCTGATTTTAACTAACTGCTTTCGGCTCTAACTAGTTGTTTAAGTTCAACCGAAAAATGGATGAATATTTTTTGACAAAACTTTCGTACCGTAAGTTATCATGAACAAAGAGTAATTTATTTTGATACATGAAACGTAACACTATTCGTTTTCAACATATGTATTATTGGCGTTCTTTTTATTGATAAATTCAAAATTTGATTTTATGAATGATCTTTATTTTTTGTTTCAATCTTTTTCAACGATGCTTTTATGGTTATAATTATTAGGATTATTTCTTCATGATGATATTATAGGTTTGTCGATATTATCCGGCAATAGAGTTTTAAATGATTTGAAGTATCAAACCATTGATAACTATCAGATAAGTTTCATCAGTGAGATGACATATTCTTGTGAATGCAAAAGTAAAAATGAACTAAATGTAAACGAGATCATGATATGTGGTATATTATTATTATTTTTTCTTTTCGCTACATCAGTCATATTTTTTATTGAGAGTGAAAATTTCATTGCAAAAAACCTTTTGCATGAGATTGTGAAACAATACGGTAATGCTGTTTCATTTTCAAGATAATCTAGACCAAAATGTTGGCAGAGAAGTATGTTTTAATTGTGCATTAGCTGAAAGTGTTATTCATATACTGAAAAAGAGATATTCCTACATTTCAATGTTATTCTAACGTTAGTAAGTATCAACACTTTGTGTCATGATTATTCTTCTTAGCAAAAGAAACAAAAACTTCTTAGTAGATCAATGTTTCTAAAAAATTGAATTCTGATGTGCAAGAAAAAGTTGGAGAATGTGATAGTTTGAAAAATTACAGGACATTATCGTTGTTGTTTATCTTTCATATGTCATGAATCAGAATTAGAGACGCAAGTGTAATAGTGTAGTGTTAGGTGTCGTCCTCTCTCATGGTTCATCTTTTCGTTCTATCATTGTTGTGACGTCATCGTATATATGTATTCCATCTTTCGTTCTGTTGTTATGCGTGAATAGATATGTTTTCGTTTCCAGTACCTTCCAGTATTTTCGCTCTGTGTGAATCTTGTATGTTCTCTCTAGTACTCTCTTGTTAGTTCTGGACTCTCTTGGATTTTCTAGTACATTCCTTTTGTTCCGAACCGATGTATATATACCCCTCGCTCACAACAATAAAATTGATTATGCATACACCTTAAGATAAACTTCTCTCTGACTACAAGTGGTTAGTGGTTGACTACCTTCACAAGAGTCGTGCACCGCCTACTTATATAACGATGCAGTTTAAATAATTACAGTTAAAATCAGTGAAACCGATAGACATGTGAAAATCTACAACGAGACCGATTTTTTGTATTATTCAGGCAGATTCATATTAAGAGAACTGATTGGTGCCGAAAAAAAGTTAGTTCCCATCATTAGTTTATAGTTGCATATATCGACTGATACCTTTAATTTCATGGTCGTATTCCTAATCAAAATAATTTTTATGATTGCAATATCCATTCGAATATATGTAGTTTTGAATTGAAATATTCCATTATTTGTCAACATCCATTGAATTCAAATGAAAATTATCTTTCAATATGATAATTAAAACAATCGGATTCAATCGCTTTCTTTTTCATTCTTCATACACACTTAAGATTAACTAAAGTTTTATTCATATATTTATTTAAAAAATATCACGGTATATTCTACAATATAATAATAAGAATAGTGAAAAATTCTTCTTTTGATTACGATTTATTGAGATTTTGCAAAAGTTCCACGATTAATATTATAAATATCTGCAGACCGATTATTGTCGGTTGACGATTCAATAGTAACACTATTCATTCGAACTCTTTCATTAGGATCCGCAAACATCGGTAATATATCTGGATTAGTCATAATATATTGTTGAAAATCTTCTAGAGTAACCACACCATCTCTATTCTTTGATTTAGAAAACAAAAACTATCGATTAATAATATATCTCTAGAGAAAAATTTACCATATCCCATTGTCTGAGTAACTGCTGAATTAATTGTCGGGATTCAACTGTTGGTGGTAAACATACTTCTAGATCGTCTCGTGTTATAATTTCATCATTATTTACATCAAAAGATTGAAAATATACTAAAAAAAACTTATACAAAAATCAAAAATAGAATTGTTTTTGCATTTACAAATTATTTTTTGCGCTGCTGTACCACGTTCGAGAATATGAGAAACAATCATAAAAGTAAAAAAATCAATGCCAACATCATGTTTAGGATTCTATTCAAATATAATTAAAGAAAAAATGAAAAAATTCTTATGTTAATACGATGAAAAAAAATCTTTACTCGAATTTGTGCTTCGAATAATCGATAAAGTCGTTCAAAAGCACTTCGATCAGTATATCCAATTGGCACAAGTGAAAATTTTTGAAGACATCGACAAAGATCCTGGATCAATGAAAAATATTCTATTTCATTAATAGATATAATTTATAATTTACTTGAGGTGATTCAATTTTTCCACTAGGAAAATGTCGACGAAAAATTGCATACCTTAAATTTAAAAAAGCCAATGATTTAATTCACTTTTTGTTATTTTCAAATAAAACTTACGCACATAGCTTTTATTTCTGCCCGTGAACCTAAAAAATAATTTAGATCGAATAAATTTATAAATTTTTTTTTTCTTTTCTTTTCTTACGATTTGTACGATATACTAATTGATTGAGTATGGTTTTATTTAATTTCGTTTTATTGGCACCCATATTCTTATGTCCAATTGTTCAATATACACATTTAAAGCGAAGAGAACAAAAAAAAACTAAAATAATTCATTATTTTTAAAATTACTAAGACAAGATATTGAAAGTGAAAAAGAAAAGAAAAACGACACAAACAATAAATTCATGTAAAAATTTTGTCCCTGAAAAATAAAAGTAAACTTATTAAACTAGCATTTGCACAGTTTCTATATTATCAGTTAAAGCACTTGAAATTACTATCTACCTTTATGTTATAAGAACATGCATGCTATTGACTTTATGCAAAATAAAAAAGAAACGAGAAGACAAAGCCAACTTTATACGTACTTTTTTCCGGTTCTTATATAGCAACGCAAATACATTCATTAGTTTTTTGTTTTTATTTTATTTTTATTTTCTTTTTAATATGATAGCTTTTTAGGATTTTCATGATTAATTAAAAAGAATATCGCCTGTTCAAAAGATTTATTTTTTTTTGGTCAAGACTTTTTTCATTAACAGAAGTCGATCTCTAGAGTACTGCGATCATACATTTTTCTTTGTTGATTGTAGTGTTGGTGTCGTCTCTAAGGAGTTTTTTTTTCTTCTTCTTCATTTTTTTCGTTATGTTTGTTTCATTATCGATCAAGTCAAGTGTCTCCAATAGAAACTCGACAATGCACTTTCATCGTTTCATGGGGCTCTAAAGAAGATGATGAATCATCTCGGGGTGATAGTGCTGCCGTCGCCCCGGATTGTTCTCTCTCTCTCTCTCTCCTTTTCTTTTTCATTCGTCGCCTTCGTTACACATTCGCTCTCTTTCTGTGTCTCTATATAACATTTCAGCCTAACTCGCTCACTCTGTCAGTCAGTCGCCACAAAGAGACGTGCGAGAGCAAACAAGCAACCACTACCGTCGTTAAATAAAACTAAAACTTCAGTAAGTTGTTTTTTTTTTATTTCATTTTTTACTTGCAAAACAGAAATTCTTTTTGTTTCTAGATCATGCGTGAATGTATTTCGATTCATGTTGGTCAAGCTGGTGTTCAAATTGGTAATGCATGTTGGGAATTATATTGCTTAGAACATGGAATTCAACCTGATGGACAAATGCCATCAGATAAAACCATTGGTGGAGGTGATGATTCATTTAATACCTTCTTCAGCGAAACAGGTGCTGGTAAACATGTACCACGAGCTGTTTTTGTCGATTTGGAACCAACTGTCATCGGTAGGAAAATAAAAAAAACAAACAAACATAATTATTTAAACTTATTATAAAATATTTTAGATGAAGTACGTACTGGTACCTATCGTCAATTATTTCATCCTGAACAATTAATTACTGGAAAAGAAGATGCTGGTAAGTTCATCTTAAATGATAAAAAAATTATTTTTACTAAATATTTATTTCTATAGCTAATAACTATGCTCGTGGTCATTATACAATTGGTAAAGAAATTGTTGATTTAGTACTTGATCGTATTCGTAAATTGGCTGATCAATGTACTGGTCTTCAAGGATTTCTTATCTTTCATAGCTTCGGAGGTAAATTATTTCATTGACAATAAGAATAAACTAATAATTATATTGAAAATTTGATTATTAGGTGGTACTGGTTCAGGTTTTACATCATTATTGATGGAACGTCTTAGTGTTGATTATGGAAAAAAATCGAAACTTGAATTTGCTGTTTATCCAGCTCCACAGATTTCGACTGCTGTTGTTGAACCATACAATTCAATTTTAACAACACATACAACACTTGAACACTCTGATTGTGCTTTTATGGTTGATAATGGTTCGTTACAAAAGAAAAAAAAAATTTCTTTTTTTTAATGAAATTAATATTCGAAACTTTTCTTTAGAGGCCATCTATGATATTTGTCGTCGTAATTTGGATATTGAACGTCCAACATATACAAATTTAAATCGTTTGATTGCACAAATTGTTTCATCGATCACAGCATCATTACGTTTTGATGGTGCTCTTAATGTTGATCTTACTGAATTTCAAACAAATTTGGTACCTTATCCTCGTATTCATTTTCCATTAGCTACATATGCACCCATCATTAGCGGTATGATATTTATCGAGTCTTTAGTTGTTCATTTTTCATTTTCTTTTGTTATATAGCTGAAAAAGCTTATCATGAACAATTAACTGTTGCTGAAATAACAAATGCTGTCTTTGAACCAGCTAATCAAATGGTCAAATGTGATCCTCGACATGGTAAGACAAAAACGCTTAAGTTTTTCTTAACTCTTCGATAATTATTGTAAATTTATAGGTAAATATATGGCTTGTTGTCTTTTATATCGTGGTGATGTTGTACCTAAGGATGTCAATGCCGCTATTGCAACAATAAAAACAAAACGAACCATTCAATTTGTTGATTGGTGTCCAACAGGTTTTAAAGTTGGTATTAACTATCAACCACCAACTGTTGTACCAGGTGGAGATTTGGCTAAAGTTCAACGAGCTGTTTGTATGTTATCCAATACAACTGCTATTGCTGGTAAGATTATTTGATTTTCAGGGCTTGATAAATTGATGAAATGTCTCT